AGACCACACCACCACAACTGTTACCACTACCGTCATGCTATCACCGTCAGTACGTGTTGTACGCTCGCTTTAAGCCCCGTTTGCACGAACGAGTACTGTGGCCAGTTCGATATTTAGTTGATCGCATTATGAAGGATCATTATTAATGTTATTAACTTTCAGATTGCAAAGGAAAGGAATATCGAGCTGAATCGGTGGCTCTAACTAATTGTAATGTATCTGAGTCTGACGTACATCGCACCGCGGTCTTTCAGTTGTGAGAATTTTTTTACATATTTCGAATACGTAAAATGATTCTGGAAAAACTCAGTGAAATACGTGATATGTACAATAGTTGAAATACTTGGTATGTCGTTTCAGAGCATTCAGAGTTCAAACGTGTGTAGAAACGTTAAGGAATTTTTCCACTTGCAATTAGTTTGCAATGCAGTAACCAAAACCGGTATCCTGTTACGATTATGAAAGGCCACCGTGTGCTAACTTCAGGGTTAATATCGTGGTTTTATTAAAGAACGAACGAATAGATGTAAGCGACAGCGATGTAAATAGAAATTATTGTCTAATAATGTTTAAGGGTGTAAATGTAGAATGTATGATTTGATAAATGTGGTTCTTTTCTGGCTGTATCGGGAGGATTCTTGGATATACCGATTTCGGACTTATCTTTCGATGACCCAATCCTGATTACCTAATCCCGTCAAACTATCGCATCTCGATTTTAAGTATTTATGTAATGCCGTTTTAATCAGGCAAGAAATTCACTTCTGATAACCAGTTTGAACTCGAATCCCTGCGCGCGTCTTTGTTACGTCATTCTTCGGTTTATCGAAAAATAAAACCCACCGAAACAAAGATTCTTATATCGCTTTAAAGACACAGAAAAATTATTTGTCTTATTGGGTAAATGTTATTTGTTCTCTTACATAGAAAATTCGAACAGCTTAAGATCATCTGACAAAGAAAAAGCGAAAGAAGAGAGACAGAAATCTGTTCAGATTCGTTATTTCATTAAAACTTGAGATTGTCGACGCGTGCCTCAAATACGCTTTTCCGCGTGTATCATCGTCGGAGAAGGATTTAGGCGAGTCACGTAGACGAGAAAAGCTAGAAAAAGCACTTGACTTGAGAGATTGCATTTCCCGATCACGTCGGACTTTTCCTCTTTCTTCGAACTCGCTGGTGCTACCACACCATATCAGCTCATATTTTCCTTTGCCCTGTATTGCCATCCCCTAGTTACGTATATTCTTGTCGAACTAACTGGTTTCGTATACTCGCGGCGTTTCGTTCGACTTAACCGCATGAAATATGTTCGTTGCTGTCAATGATGCGTGGAGAATTTCACAGTAGTGGTGGTGGTGGTGGTGGTGGTTTGAGGAAATATCGTTTGGAACAGATGTGTATCGCGATAACATCGAGAAACTTCTAGAAAGTTTGATCTTCGGGAATCTTTCGATATTATTAGGATATTTTTACGAGGGGAAATTGATCGATCTGATATATATACATGATATATTATACAAATTTTGAACACATTTCGTTTGTTTATTAATCTGCTTACATAAAACTTTTACGACAGCCTTTACTCTAAGAGATTGATTCGTATGAACTATCTGAATCTGTTGTGCATTGTTAGCTAGGGAACGAAATATTATTTATTATAAATAGACTGTGGATTTTTATGCATTTAGATGAAAATCTAAAGGCACCACAAAGCAATATGCAAAAGTATCCAAAACACTGGTTATAACGTTTAATACGTGAAATACGATCGTCTTTATTTTTAGTTATATTTATAAAAATATGAAATTGTATAAATATCCGCAGTCTAATTATGAATAATATGATGATAGAAAACGAGATTCCTTCTAAACGGTTGGCAATGTGTTACGTTATGACGTACAATGTAGAGTGGCTTCTTAACATTCTGGCCCTCGTCCGCGCTCTTTCCCTTTTTGCTACCTCTTTTCTTCGATTTTTTCGTTTTCTTAAATTCTTGCTTCTCTTCCCTTCGAACCTATCGTCCTGTCTCTGTTCCTTTCGCCGCGCCACTCGAGGCTCTGGGATTGGTCAACGTTATTGGGTATCGAATTCTCGACAGAACGGTCAGAGTGGAGCGACAAGGAGAAGAGAAGAGAGAAGGGCGGTCAGCTCTCTTGATTCTCGGAAATAATGAATGCTGCTTCTGTTGAGAAAATCTCCAGCAGCTCCGCTTCAATTTTTTCTTCCTCATCGTGTGTCCTGCCCCGGCTGTTCTTTCGCGGTCGCGCAATGAAAAGACTTCAGAAGACGCTTTTTCTGCCTTCTGCCACCATAATGGGATTACGAGTTTGGTGAACACGATACGAACAGCCGGGCAACTAAAAATAATTTAAGCGCGCCCCTGGCCGCCGCTTCTGAAGTTTTTAAAAGATATAACTCGCCGCTATATCCTTTACACCGTGAAAAATTCTCGTACCACGGAGTTAACGAGTTTCGTTCAAGTATGTTAACAGAAAATAAAATTTCCTTTAATGAGAGAAAAGAGGCGATAAGAGATCTCTAAAAGATTAGTGAAACACGATGGCTACGGAATTTAGATGCGACCATTAGAATCGAGAACTTTTAGTCTTGAATAAGAAATGTTGCATTTGAATAATTCTTCGAATCATACGCGTTTTCTGTGTACTTTAGAAAGCTGAAATTTACGCGTATTTGCTATATCCAATCTGAAATTTATCATTTGAACGTACTAATAAAGGATAGTTCCTTTTTCCTATCTTCAGTTATTAGTATTCATTTGATGAATTCTGTTTTAGGGTCAGGCAGTGGTCCAGCTGGCCAAGACCGTGAAAGACGTGACCATCTTTGGTGTGTGCAGTAAATCAAAGCACGAAGCCCTGAAAGCAGCTGGCACCATCGACCACCTCTTGGAACGAGGCACAGACTATAGCAACGAAGTCAGGAAGTGTGTAACGAACTCTATAATTTATCGTTTTTTCCCTTCATGGTGTGTTTATATATCATAGGATTCTTTATCGGCCGTTTCGATTCTCTTTTGTTCTACAGGATCTCCCCAGAGGGCGTAGACATCGTTCTGGATTGCCTTTGCGGCGAAGAATGCAACAAGGGTTACGCTTTGTTGAAACCAATGGGGAAATATATCCTTTATGGATCGAGTAATGTGGTCACCGGAGAGACTAAAAGCTTCTTCTCGGCAGCGCGATCAGTACGTCACAGAAATTTAACTTTATTATTTTTTTCTTCCTCTCTCCGCATCGTTGTACAAGGAGTTATTTCCTCCTTGTAATAGCGGTAACTAATTTATGAATAGGACCAGTAGTTTAATCAGTAAACGCGCTTAATCCAAGAGGTACGAAGTCAAGGAAATTAAGTACTTTTATAAGGATGAGAGGCTTTTTAGAGATCCATTAGGTAATTTAAATATAAATTAGAGAATGAATATTTCAAAATCATTTACTTTTCTCTTTAATAAACCACGATATATACATGTATACTGATAAATGAAATTATTTTAACACAATAATCTCATCCTTGTAAAATGTTTGGAAATGCATTTAATCGCAAAACAGACTTGGGCTATCTTATGTATGACAATATATTACATCAATGTTCAAAATCTTTCATGTTTATCATTTTACAGTGGTGGCAAGTAGACAAGGTATCCCCCATCAAACTGTTTGACGAGAATAAAACTCTGTCTGGGTTGAATCTGCGCCACTTGATGTATCAACATGGTAGCCACGCGTTCGTGCGACGAGCAGTAGAACGAGTGTTCGCCTTATGGAACGATGGTCAAATAAAGCCTATGGTAGATTCTACGTGGGCTTTGGAGGACGTCCCGGAAGCCATGCAGAAGATGCATGACCGTAAGAACATTGGTAAGATCGTGCTGGATCCGAGTCTCGAGCCAAAACCGAAGCCAGCCACCCCAGCCAAAGGAAAGACGAAGGATAAAAAGGCGGCCAGCCAAGAAAGCCAAGAGAAAAAAGCGACGAGCGTTGAATCCGAGGAGGGGGAGAAGAAGAAAGAGCCTGAACTGACAAATGGAACATCCGAAGACAAATCCGATAGCGGTAAATAAAAACAGAAAAAAAACGTTCTCTAGCTTGTATCGTTCCTGGAAAAAAAAATTATTTGTCGTTGCGCGCTTTGTTACCCGCAAACGGTAACGAAATATTCAATTGCCCAGTCAAATATTTCGCGCGTCCTTTCGATTGACCGAGCCTCCTTTGTTTGCTTTCAGATTCTAAAGAAAAAGAATCGAGCTGAATTAGCGGCGCTAGCTAATTTTAATATACGTATATACATAAAAATACATATATATATAAAAAATGTAAAACACTGATATCTCCCGTGAAGATCAAGAATTTTGCAGATAAGTACTCTATTATTCCTCACTATCCAGAGATCTACTACGTTTGTTGCGCTATACGACGCTTGATTATTATGTGACGAATATCCATAAAGTATCATCATGCTATGCTGATGACGAATTAATTTGGAAAAAGAAAACAAAAAAAGCAAGACAACAAAAACAGAAACGAAAAATAAGGATTTCGAAATATTTAGTTTGTCAAATTCAACCAAAAAAAGAGAAAAGAAGGCTCGTTTCCCCAGAATTCATCTGCATGCCTCTCTCCTCCCGTCTGTTTGCGCTGAAAGAATTCTTCAGTGGAATTCACGAGTGAAAGAGTGGGCGTGAAAATACACGTACAGGTTCATTCATGTATGTGAACCAGAGGGAAACAAAAGTAAAAACAAAACATACAACCAAATATAAGGAAACAATATCAATCTTGACGTGGTCCACAGTAGTTTGCAGAATATAAGAATTATTATTTTTATTTTTTCACACTGACCAAAACATAAGATTCATTTTCATATATGATAGACTAAATGAATCTGGTAGATGCTAGACTTATTGGACGACCTCTTAATAATTTCATACTTCCTTTTTTATTTTTTATTTTTTATTTTTTAAACATCATATTTCGTACTTATCGAATATAAAATGAAATTATACATACGATAAAAAAGACGGGTCGTCTAATGATTCTGCATTGACCAGCAAATTGCTACTTTTATCTACTTACATCGAGAACTATTACTGCTGCAATACATATATACAATATAGGTACATATTATATATATGCAGTGACATTTTACACACTAAAATAGTACCATTTACTGTAATTTAAATAGAGTACGATGGCAATGATAATCTAATCAGCTTTATAAAGAAGGGAAGAAAAATTTATTAGATGAAACCCTGAATATCAAAAGGCTGAAAGAAAACAAACGACTGTGTTACTTTTTACGTGTATCTCCTTCTTATCGAGAACGTGTCTTTTTTTTATTATTGATTGTATGTAACTTAAAGACCGCTTTAACAGTAGCCAGCCTAAACGATATAGTTGGATTAATAAGCTTGTTGTACACTCTGTGTACCAGGATTCGCTGTATTATTTTAGATAAGTAATTTTTTTTTAATTTTCACCACTGAAAGTACTGAATCGCCTAACTGCCTAAAAAAAAAAGAAAAAGAAAATTATTGGTGAATAGCTCAAGAAAAGAAAAAATTAATAACTTTTGCAACGATTCACCAACGATATGCTATCTTTTTTTGTTGTCATGATTTTAACGTTAGAGCTACGATATAAAAAAAAGAATATAGCGTAGTTTTCAATAGACTTTTTATATATGTATAAACAATGAAATTTTGCTTTAAGCGAATAATTATTTAAATCGATATTTAGAGTTGAACTTTAATGTTCTGTAAAAATGTTTTTAAATTTTTATTGAAATTATCAATTTCTTTTATTTTGTAACGAGATATATTCCATTTTAATTGTGCTTAGGGGAATGAATGACGGTGTGAAACTAATACTTCATTTTCTATGCGTGAATTCTGTGAGAAATTGAGTATCAGTATATTTTAAATAGAGAAAATTCACAATCGAGATCGAATTCTTCTAGATCTTTAATTATTGTATAATTTAATGTAAGAGATACACGACCGATCTGTCGAATCAAAGACAAATGAATTTCCTAATGGATAATGATGATAATGATGATGAAGATCATGACGATGACGTGAAAACGAGGTTTTTAATAATGTCATGAGGTTGAGCTAATTTATCTAGAACGATGAAACAAACAAGAAAAGAAGTCTAAGAGCAAAAGGTACATTAAACGAAAAGAAAAGAGAAGAAAATGACTCTGAAAAGAACGAGTAGATGCAGAGTGAAATGCATATCTCTCCGAAACGGTTGGAACAATTTTTACATAGCATCGATTCTGTTAGAATTTGATACTAGCTCTGTATACCGATATATCTATATATGATTAAAAAAAAGATCGCTATTAACGAAAAAAAAGTTACGGACACGGGCGAACTATACATATTATATATATATATAAATATAAATATAAATAAATGAATAAATAATTAATAAAGTAAGTCGATAACATTCTTCGAGTCTATCGGTACGAAGAAGTGTAAGAATTTATAAGAATTATTATTATATTATTATTATTATTAATTATTATTATTAATTATTATTATTACTATTACTACTATTACTGCCGTATCGAGTCTCAGTCCAAGAGTACACTGAATACTGTATCTCAATTTCAAGGACATATACCAATCTCCGCTCTATTAACGAAAAGAAAAAAAGGGAAAAAGATAGAAATAATAATAAAAAAACGAAAAAAAATGATCGTAAAAAGAACGTGGCTGCATATTTTGAGACGTCTTTTGAACACGTATAATAAATATATATATATACATGCTCTCTGATAAAGTTCGACGTGTAACGTAATTATTCTCTATACGAGAAAAACGAATGATATAAAACCACATACACACATAACACACACACAGGTACCACACGATTTTATCATACATGCGTGACGATACACATCATACTGTATATTTTATGTAAGGCTTTAAATGTTTCATCAAATAACTATTATAATATACCTATATATTTGTATCGATCGTTTTCCCTATCCTGGTCATAATTTAGGTCCGAAATTGTATCTGCGTCTGAAAGTAATTTGTAATTAATGTCCGACGATATTTAACGAAGATCCTTGAAAAAAATTTTTTTTTAAATGATCCTATTCGTAGTTAGAACTTTACTAGCTAATCTCTACACGGTTCTCACTATAACGATATTCCTTGTTAAAACGCGCAACCAACACACCGTGTTTTCTATTATTGTGCTGATAATACCAAGGAGGGGAAAGTTAGTCTGTTTTCTCATAAAGTAATCCGTCACTGGGATTTATATCATTACGTATCTGCGTAAGTAAGGAAAGAAATATGTATTGGATAATCATAAAACAGCAATTTATGGAAAATAATTCATGGAATTACGTCGTTAGAAGCCTCGATAGTCGGGCCTTAATTACAGGGACATCCCCTCGGATCTCTGCTTTTCAATTTTGTTCAAAGTCGTTTTCTTGCACCGTTTGATGTATTTTGAACGCACGTATCTCTGCGTACGACTCTTTCTCATGCGCTTTAAAATCCAGAAAACTGGAACTTCTTGTGATAGAGTTTCAGCGTTCGCCTCCGCCATTGAGAATGGAGTGAATAGAGGAGAATCGGCGTCGTGGAGATCGGACGGTTCATTTGTGATGAAACTCGTGACGCATTCAGCTCAGAAATGTGTACTCGAACAAACCCTCGTCTCACTGACATCTTTTCAACGGACATTTACCATGCCCAAAATGTTTCATTCGTTTAAACTATCTTCTTTCGGATATAACGTTTACAAATTGGCTTATTAACGAATAGATGGCGAATGTTTGTACAGATCCACGTTTTTATGTCTTAACTTAAGGGAAGATTTGTTTCGTCCATTAAATGTTACGACTAATGCTTTACATTAGATATTTTATATGTTTTTATATTACATTATGTACGTTTTCGCATTTCTTTTAAATTTCTCGTAAAAGTATAAATGTTCGCAGTCTATTAATGAAATATACATTTTTTCCTCATTTTCAGTTTTATAAATAATGAAGTTGCCGATAGAGTGGTCAGATGGAAAATATTTCAACGGCATAATGACACATTTCTGCGCTCGTTGTTAGATTGCAATTTTTCAGCTATTGATTCAATGAAGGGTTCACCGAAAGTAGGACCAACAAAATATCATTCCGTTGCCGCGGCGAAGAGAACGCGGTCCATATACATTCTTTTCTCCCTTAACGTTCTTTCGTTTGTCGACACCTGCATCGTGGGAGAAACAGGACCTACAGTTTTGCAACGTGATACATCATATAATTATATGTAAAATTGTAAAATTCGTCTCAAGAGTTCGGGCGAAATGGTCACGTGTTTTCCTTCTCTGCCGCGAGATGCGGCCTTTCTTCGATCCTTTTCGGTCCTACAATTCGTTTCACGAAGGAAAACAGAAATCATTTTTCGCCCGTTCTCCAGAAGCTCGATATATAGATTGTATTTTTGGCTTATTATTGTAAGACTGACTATGTTGCTATATTAAAGATTGCTTCGAAAATAATTACAGCTGTTTCGAATAATCCAAATCCAAATTTCCACCCAAAACTAACATAGATTTATTCCAGACGTCAGAAGTAAAAAATACAGTATTGAAAGTATGTTATTAAAACAGAGCTGTTACATGTGCAAAATTATTAAAAGCATGAACTTTAACAATATATTTCGGGATCATTGAAATTTTGTAAACAATAATTGAAGGATCTTTTGTAAAATAAAAGATGATGAGTGAAATATCTTTTTACAGTTTTATTTGTATAAAGATTATAAAACTTAAAAATACGTTCAACGCATGTTAAGTGCTATTTTCTTTTCGCTATTGTATAAATATACTTTCGGACGGATTATATGTTTTCGAGCAACCAGTTTCATAAAAAATTGATTTACAAATAATTTAATATGTATTATAATATGTTATCCTTAAATAAAAAGTTATAACCTCATTTAATATGAGAACTTCATGATAAAATACATTCGATAGCTGTATGCGCTCGCATGTTAAAACGAGTTAATTAATATTTTATTGTGTTTTATTATAAAGCAGACTTTTTATATACGGTATTAGTAACATTATATGCGTCATCATATTATTTGAAAATTTGCGACGATACTTTTAAAGACGTTTCATCGTTCAGTAACTCCACTTGTTCTTTTTATTTTATCGAAGCGACTGTTTTACTTAATTACATGAAAAAAAGCAAATACGAGTATTAGATTAATGCTTCGTACATGAATAAATTATTAACTAAGTAATTAGGTCGCACATTTTCAAAGTATCAACGATATAACATTTCCTTTTAAAAGACTTACAAATTATTGTATTACCTTATTGTAAGTGCTATATTACTAAAAATAGATCTTTGATGTTCGAACAGACAATTAACTATACAAAAGAATATAAAGTTTCTTTGCAGAGGCAAAATACCTTATTTGAACGAATGCCTTACATACTTTCACATTTCTTCTTTCATGTGAAAAAGTACACGAGCATGTGTTAGAATGACATCTGTATTCATAGATCTTTTTCTCTAGCCTACTATTTACAAATTGCCAACCAATAGCAACTTTTCTTAACCGGAATGTAAATCTTTGATTCATAAATTGATAGTGTTCAAGGGGCATTGCGAAGGCACAATTTATGAGCACGATTTTCAAATTATAATTGTAGAATTTAAATAAAAACTCTTTATAGAAATAGCGATACTTATGATTTCTCTAGTAATAA